TTTCCTGGTGCTATTTTCCATTGAATGGCTGGATTTAGCCCATAGCCTGGAATAGTGAGACGGAAAGGCCATCTTGGTAGGGGAGGTCTTAAGAAAACATACAAACGCAGTGCCACCAGTCACTAACTGAAAGCCCTAAGGACAAAGTCCAAAGAAAGAAAGAAGAAAAAGCAGGAGGCATCTACAACATACAGTGTAAGGACTGTAACAAAGACTGCGTAGGACAGACAGGCAGAAGACTGGCAGAGCGCATCCACGAGCACCAACGAGCAGTCAGAAGACATGATGAAAACTCCTTAATCTCTCAACACATGGACAGACTCAACCGTAGTTTCAACTTGGAAACTGTCAGCATTTTAGAACAAGCTAAATCCAAAAATCCAAGAGAATTCTTGGAAGCCTGGTATTCAGACAAGCCACCAATTAACAGACACATAGAGATCAACAGCATCTACATACTATTCAAAAGAAGCAAAAGACCAGAAGATCGCCTCACCAGAAATCAATCACCAGCAATCATCACCAGCAATCATCACCCAGATAAGCAAAGGTCACCACTAGGTACACAATCAAGCAGCAAACATATGCCAATTAAAGAACTACCAGAAGAGCAAAACAGAACCCCCACCCCCACCAGCACTGGCAAAGCAGGCCACAGCACATAAATAGAGAGCAAACCCCAGCCCATTTTAGCACTGAAGATGTTACCTATCCAGGTAATGAAACATTTGCAAGGAAAGAACCAAGCTCAGAGAACCCCAAGGACTCCAAAGAAACTTCTGTCCATCGGGTACTTGGGAGCTGAAGAATACTTTTCTATCACTTTTTCCGGCATTAAATCAAGCGATGACCCCTGCTGTAGCTACGCTCCTGCTGGTATGGTTGAAGTTTCTCTTCAGTTCGTAACAACCAGCATCCATTTAGACGTTGGTGGTGCTATTCAGGTGGGTTAGCTCCTCTGAGGTTCCTGCTGCTTGTGATGATGACCGCTGTCTCCAGAGATGGTATATCCTACATTTCTTCCTCTTGATGTAAATAACAGTCCCCGCTAATAAAATAACAGTCACAACAAAGGCACCACAACTGCTTGTGGTGATGACCGCTGTCTCCAGAGATGGTATATCCTACATTTCTTCCTCTTAATGTAAATAACAATCCCCGCTAATAAAATAACAGTCACAACAAATGCAACTATTCCCGCGATAATTGCATCGCTATTGGGCTGGGAATCTGTGAAAGAAAAAGAGAAAAGGGATGAAAATCAAATGTCTAAGCATTCCAGAGAGTTGCAAGTACACGAGCACCCCCCACCCCCCACCACCTAGACCCACAAACACACTCCATGTCTGTTTTTAAAAAGGGAGTGTTCTAGCTTTCACCGCTGGGACAAAATATACACAAATTGCAGAATGCCAGTTTTCATGTAGATCAGCGTTTCCCAACCTCCGCAACTTTAAGGTGTGTGGATTTCAACTCCCAGAATTCCCCAGCCAGCATGCTGACTGGGAAATTCTGGGAGTTGAAGTCCACACAACTTAAAACTGTGGGGGTTGAGAAACATCGATGTAAATGAATTTGGTTGAGCCTCCCTCTGGGAACTACACTGTACAGTAGAAGAATAGCATGGCTCATTTTCCCTAATTTCTCAAGTTCTGCTTGGTCACAATTGTCTTGCTGTTTACTGCTTTGGTGTGTGCCTTCAAGTCATTCTTGACTCCTGGCGACTGCCTGGAGATGTCCCTGCAGATTTCATGGCAAGACTTTTCAGAAGTGGCTTGCCAATGCCTTCTTGCCAGGCTGAGAGACAGTGACTGGCCCAAGGTCACCAAGGTGACTTTGTGCTTAAGGTAAGACTAGAACTCACGATCTCCCAGTTTTTAGCCTGATGCTTTAACCAGACTACTCTCTATTTATTGTTAGGCAAACTTAACTCACAAAAAGCGAGTCCCTTCCTCAGAATCCTCATGTTTTAAGAACTGTTCTAGGTTAAAAACACTGAAGTGGATTAATACCTCTGAACCTAATTCCAAAAGATATATTGGGAATGTTTTGGGGAGTTTAAATACACACTCTTCAACTTAACCATCTGCAAATGGATACCTTCCTGATATGTTTGATGTCAGTTCTCCCTAACCAGTGGCTGCTAGGGATTATGAGAATTGAAAGCCAACACATTTGTTTGGCATCAGGTCAGGAAAGGCTGACTTAAAGATAATGGAGCATTATTTGGGTACACAAGACTCAGTTCATATCCACACATAAGGGACTATCTCTTCACTAGTTCATAGTAGATGCTTCCTTACCCATTAGAAATAGTCTCAGACTTTCTGGATTGGGTCATAGATGGAAGTGATATCAACAGCTCACATGTGAATTCCTATCAGTTTCTTTTATTGGATTACATTTCTAACTTGCATTTGACAAATAAACTTCAACGTAGTTCTGGTTGAGTGTTACAAGCCCCAGAATTATGGTCATTCCAGCTCTTTAGATCAAGAGATGAACTTACATTCAACATGTACGGTCACATCTCTAACATCAGAGCCATACTGGTTGGTAGCATTACAATGATAAATGCCATCATGCTCTCTCTGGACCAGCTGTTGTTCCCCAATGCTGTAAGATCTCCCATCTTTCCAGCACTGGACTGTTGGTGTGGGGTTTCCCAAGGCTGAGCAGGTAAATGATGTCAAACTTCCCTCCTTCCAGGTCAAGGTATGTGGACATTTGGAATCATCAATTTGGGGCCCATCTAGAATGGAGAAGGAAATGTGGTTATTTT